TTCTTTCTTTACAACTGGTTATTAACTTCAATTTAAACATGTAACATTGTAAATACACAGTGTTTGGTAGTTTAGGAGTAGTGCTAGTTGTTTATTGTCTCTCTGTTTCCTTTGTTTTTATGACTTCTTAACTTTTTTCTTTGTCCTGAGGAAGGCACAGTCCGTCCCGAAAATTTGACAATTTTTATTGTTCGTGTTTTGTCATTTTTAGTGCTTTATATAAATTTCCATCCTTGAACTTGTATTTACTTAGTAGATCCGACACTATATATATATTATAATAGTTTTGGGAATGTTTTCTTGTGGAAGTAGTAACAACAGCTTTTTGTAATGAAATATATGGAGATAACGAACAGTACTCAAGCTCAAAAGTCCATTAAACAATACAAAATAGGAGCAGAGCAAACACGGACCTCCTAAACATCAGAGGTGGGATCAAGTGCCATAGAGGAGTGAGCATCCCGTGCCGACCGGTCACATCCGCCGTGTGCTCCTTGTCATGATCGGAAAATAACGGAAAAATCCGTCGACAATTCAGTCTGCAAATAATGGCCTAACAATTAGTATGAAAAACGTCAGTCAGCATTTGACTCAATGATAAATTGTATTTGCTAACAAGGTCATTGTATCGACCATAGAACTTATGATGACTATAAACGAGAATGCTGATATTCTTGTTTCATCAACTTGTTTGTCAATAATTGACCTCGTTTTAGAAATTGTACATACGTAGAGCATGCTCTTGCGTATCGAATCAACTGAGAGATATAAACCCCGTATGCAGGTGATGAAGGTATATTGCTGCATAAGTAAGGGAAGTTGACGATTGAAAAGTTAAAGTCACCACGTTTATCATAAAGCTTGGTTGTTAGATTACCATTAACGTCTTTTTCAAGTAAAATATCCAAATATGAAACAGATGTGTCAGACTCTGTGGTATCTTTTATCTCAAGCTCACCGGGATATATCGTATAGACAAAAGAATAGAAATAACCATTGTTAATTGACAATACGTCGTCGATATATCTAAATGTCGAGTTGAAGGCCACAAGAAGTGTTTTCTTCTTTTCACGTATAAGATTTTGGACAAATTCTGCTTCATATGAATACAAAAAGGGGTCTGCTAATAACGGGGCGCAATTGGTACCTATGGGAATTCCAATAGATCGTTGGAAGACCTGGTCTCAAAAACCACGTAGATATTATCAATAAGAAACTCAAGTATTTTTTAATGTCAACTTCAAAGTACTTGTGTGTACAGTCAGAACGTTTTTTAACAAAATAATTTTGCAAATGACCAGTGACAAGGTAAGTAAATTTACGAGTTCCATTTTTATTGAAAAAGCAGCTGTCAATGATATCAAAAAGCCTGGACTTTAATTTAACGTAGGGAATGGTTGTGTATAAGGTTGAAAAGTCGTAAGTTTTTAAGCTGTTATTTTGGTAAAATCTTGTGATTTCAAATTTTCCAAAAGTTCCTTGGAATTTTTAAGTATCCACAACTGATTTACACCACTTCTTGAATATATTGTTGCACAGTACTCTTGAAGTTTCTCTTTCACTACTGTTAATATCTTAGTGAGGAGTAAAGAAAGAGGCTTGGTTGAACATTTACTGGAATCCTTTATGTAATCTATCTTTCTTTGTAAGGATTTTTATGAAGTTTCGGAATCCAATATAGATATGGTAAATCAAATTCATTTTGGTTGCTTGGAATATTAAAAATATTCTAAACTGACATATGATTTTGAAGAATTTCCTTATGATTTTCCTTAGAAAGGGAACTATGAGTATAAGTTGGATTACCACTTGTAGAATTATACCCAAGTTCCTCTAAAATTCATTTAATATAATGGACCTTACAAACAAAGACAATGTTGTTACCTGCTTTGTCAGCAGGGACCAGTACTTACTGATCATGTAATCTATCTAATTCTTTTTTCACTTCTGGATTATTGAATACAGAAGGATAGATGGTTCTCATATTGCCCCTCAATCTTTTATTGCGCGATTTTAACATACATCTGATACATTTAATCCATTCAGACAAAGTGTCAAGGTCTTCTTTTTCATGTCTGGCCCATTGCCTGGCGTAATCCTCTACAAAATCCATAATATTTATGAAATCCCGACGCCAGTTGAGGGATCGGGGATCCCTATATTTAGGACCTTTTAAATTAGTGAAGTAAGGTCCTCATTGTTAACTATATTTTCGTCACCAGTAGTAACATGTCCAGCAGGACTATAGTTATAGGGTGAAGAAGAACATGAACACGATGGAGGATTATGTTTCAGATATTCGATATCCAGGCCCTGTAAAGTTTTCTTGTAATTAAAAAGTTTGGAAGCAATAGTCGAAGTATATTTGTAGGAAATACAAGGTGTAGTCTTTAACTTGAAATATAGCGGGATACAAGACTGGATCCTTTTGTGATTAAGAATATTACTTATATTAACCGCGTCAATTCCTTTGTTGGCATATTGAAGTTTAAGGAAAAAACGGATTGTTCTAGTTGCATTTTCTTCAGTAAAACGTGGGGGTTTAAAAAGCCTTTGATTTGCAATATCCATAATCACAGATCCGAGCCTATATTCTGCTGTCGAGGAATCAAAAAATGGACTTTCCTTAACCTTTTAAAAAACACTATTTAAAAGTTTGAAAGGGTAGAGTAAAGTTTGGTGCGAATATGATGTAGACCTAACTGTTGTTTTACGTAAGGTAGTAATGAATCAAAAGAGACATCGTGTATTAAAAGTTTATTGTAAGACCAATGCCCAAGACTACGCTTACGTCTCTGTGTATGGTTAAAAAGTCCCATATCATTTTACATTGTTACACTGTGACCTGGAAAGATTTCCAACACTATCGACATTGTCATCACATCCATAGGGAAAGGCTGCCCCTAATTTTCTAATCCAAAATTTTTCTTGTTGTCTACGGAAAGGTGTACTGTTTGTGTGGTGGTAAATCTTTTCTAGAATTCTTTCATTGACAAAATAGAATGATCAAGTAAATTAAAATGCTTGTATAAAAGCTGCTGACCCCCATTATTTATTTGAAATCTATGACTTGATATTATTTTACTAAGTGATCCCTTGGTTTCACCAAAATAAACAAATCCACAAAGATTACATTCTATTTCTTAGACAAGATTAGAAGATTTGCAGTTCAGATTTTCCCAAGTTTGGGTATAGAAGCTCTGTCCAGTAAGATTACTGGTGAAAGAAGTGTTAGTTATCAAAATGTCACAGGTTTTACAGTTTTTCGCAGAGCATTTTGAAATAGAAGATATATATAGCGGACTATACGAGCTTACCAAAATGCCTTTCGGTCTTTGTAATTGTCCCGCAACCTTGTAACGGCTTATGGAGAGTGTTTTAGCTGGACTGAATTTTTAGGACATGTAGTGTCTCAAAACGGTGTTGAACCATGTCCCATTTAAATTGAGGCAATCAAAGATTGGCCCACACCCTCCAATGTAAAAGACCTAAGTAAAAAAAAAACCTTGGGGAATAAGGTCATATGTCATTTAATATCCTTTGCCAGGACTTTGTTTTACAATTTGTAAGGGATGATAGTTTTGGAAGGAATTTGTAATAGTAATGAACAAAACCCAGAAACGCATGAAGTTGAGCGGAATTTTTGGCTTCAGGAGTGCCCAGTACAGCCTTACTTCTGTTTTTCAAAATGACTTACGAATTAGACCAGAATAATTTTTGTAGCAGATTTTTTTCACCAGTTTTTCATCGGTCTTTTAGAAAATTGTCAATGATACATACAGAAATTTTGAACATCTGTTACATACATCAGGTACACTTTAGCTGTTCTTGTTATGCAATGAATGAAACCTACTCATTTTTTTCAAACGGCATCATTTACCTACATACTTTCAAATTGTGTTTTGTTTTGTTTGAAAACCAAGACGCTTTGGTGAATAACTTTATAATAATAGTTCAAATTTTGAAAATTAGATTATTAATTTTAAATAAAATGGTTCTAAAACAATATCAGAAAAAAGAAGAAAAACGTTCTCCCAATATTCCATATTGCTTTTTGTGATTAATATGCGCTGAAATTGTTCAAGAGTTTAATATGCAGTGGAATTTCCTAGAAATGAGAACGTGCAATTTCCTTATTTTATATCAAATAATTAACAAATATTAACTGAGCAACCATAAGGTATTTGTGAAAAAGTGAGAACATTACCAGATCTAGTAATGTAGCGTGAAATATTCGCCCTTCACTACCCATATATCCCTTAAAGAAGAATTCCCGAGTCGAATGAACTCTAATTGATCAATTAATATTATAATTTAAAAAAAAAAAAAACAGCAACAACATGAAAATAGATGAAAATAGTATGTAAAGCACCTATATAAAAAAGAGTAAGTAAAATAATTTTTTCTAAAGACTACATGTATAAATTATATATAAGTAATTACGTAAAAATTAGGAGCAAGAATACTCTGATGCATAGTGGAAAAGCTGCAATGACGTGACAATAAGGAAAATGTATGCAGAGGCTATAAGAGTTTAAAAATAGGTTAACAAAAGTGAATCAAAATAACAGAAAAGCGTCCGTGTTCTTTCCACCAAATCACATTACACGACACTACATAAATACTTAAATGACTCGGGATTTCTTTGGAGAAAATGCAAGGACATACATCCATTGTTTCTTGCTAAGAGTGCAAAAAGTTGTCTCTAAATAATGAAAAGACGCCACTTTCTTCAGGCATCGTCACTATGAAGCAATGGAAAAATATATCGCTATTTTCTCTGACAGTGTCGTTGATAATTATCAGCTTCAATTCTCGTTCAAATGCATATGGTAAGGCAACAAATGAAAACAAATCAGACTAGATTTTAATCTTTTAAAACCGCCTATACTTTGTCTAATTATCATTCTTCAGAAAACCTTGCTTTGAATAAGCCCGCATGGCAATCGAATCCACATCCTCCACACATTGAAAGGAGTGCTTACGGAATAATCTTCTATATGAATACAGAAAAAGCTGAAAATGCTGTTAATGGATTGAAATCGGACCTTACACGATGGAGTGGACATTGTGCTATATCAGATGATAATATACGGGCTGCCACATTAGGTGTGAACTTGAAATCTATTCTTAGTATACATCACATAAAAGTTTATTACAGAACGGATAACGTAAAGTGGGGTACGTATCAAAAAATACTCCATTATCATACTTTTGAAACAATTTAAAACAACGATTTGATATTTATATACAATTTAAGTTTCAGTTTTAATATATTATGACACCAAACTCTCAAGTCAAATTTTCCCAATGATTTGATTTAATCGCAAAAAGACTGAATTTATGGTGAATTTGTGTGTCACATTGAGCATCACTGAAGAGACATAATTTGTCGAAATGCGCATCTGGTGCATCAAAATTGGTACCGTATATGATTTACATTCAGAAGAAACACCACCATATCTACGAAAAGCAATATCAATTAGGCTGGGCAGGATTTTTCGAAAACTGAAAACCGGGCTTTTGCTGACTACTTCAAAAATACGTTTTGTTTCAATAATTTATTATCAAAATCTTCTCAGGCGAGCATGTGCACATTATCATTGATAATTGTTATAATTATAATATTTAAAAAATCCCTTCCTGGACCAAAAATTAAGTGAAACTGAAATCATATGAATCATGTAAAAAGTATATGACAGCCAACTCGTAGTTTTCCAAGCGTAAAAATAAAAGTTTTTCGTTTACAAATAAGACCTTTATCTAAATCAATACATTCCTATAACTTATCTGAAAAATATAAATTTGATAAAGTTTGTATATCTGCAATGTGTTCAAATGGATAAGCTAGGCATTTTCTGATCTTTTTAAGAATATCGAGAAAGGTTTATACTACTGGTATTGTATTCAAAACAGCTTGTTGGGGGAGGTAGATTGTAAGGATATTCTCTGTTAAATTCAATCTTTAATTATTTCACTTTTCACTTACAATGTAAGCTGAAAGTAACAAACAGTGATCGACTTAGCAACCCGATAAACATTACAATTGAAGAAGGGGGAGGGGGCAAAATCACTCACCACTGGAAACACCAGAGGTGTGATCACAAACTCAAAAAAATTGCTTTCTCTTTCGACCGGTCACACCCACCTTGAGCACCCCGTATTGATCAAAGTAAATCAAAATTACAGTAAAACTAATCCGGACACCACTGGTTCCATAGAAATTGGCTGGATTGAACATTTTCAACAATTGAATGTACTGAAAGGAATGTAAATTTCATCATATTAAGCAAGATTTTGGAATACACAACATCCGGATTAGACAGGTTTTACTGTCATTATAATATGAGTTGTCGAAATGTTACCCCAACTCAATGAAATCCTTAGCTGAAATAATCTAACCCTCTCCTATATTTTTTATCTAATGTTTTCAAGAGAGGGCTACAATTCCACGGGGTCTCCGTAATGGTGCAAATATATCTTTTTGAATACGGGCGACTGCACGAAAAATAAATTGCTTTCGCATCCATCTTCTTTCCAGTAAGATTGATTCTCAATCATTACCAACAACCTAGCCCTTTATAAACTAAAACAAGGTAAAATAAATATGTTTGGTTACCAATCGTATTCCTCAGCTGCCATGACAGTTCTCGTGTGATGTACTGAGACTTGCGCTAGGAATCTGGTAAGGCTTGATAAAGTAAATGTCGGTGTTGATAAATGGTTGTGTTCTATGGTATCACTAAACATCGATGAATAAAAAACATTCCATATGAGATATCTTTCATAAATACGCTTAATACAAGGGAATTCCTAAATATATCTGCTCCCTATATCCCGAGTTTTCATTGGCTATCTCAAAATAAAATCGATCAAGGTCAGTAAATATGGCGGATAATTCAAGTTGTTATGCTGACATACACGAAAAATTACGGATATATGGATTATTCTGTATAATTTTGGATGAATTCATGCCTCACATGTACATAACTACAACTTTTGAGTTCAGGTATGTTATATTAATAAAATAGCGATTTACTGATGATTTGAATCAAAATCAGTGCGGGAGTGAATCACCTGAAAATAAATACACGGTCAATACGGACTTATCGTTCTTTTGTAACACTTGGAAAAATACAACGTCAGTTCGAGTTATCCATTTGCACATTACAGGTCCAAGCAATGGATACACTGCACGGTTTCTTGGATTTTATTTATATGTATCCAACACAACCAATAGAAACGACGGTTACTTATGTTACCATGACACCACCTACACAAGAGCCACCATACCACCTGTTGTCAACATAGCGTGCCCAGTGTATGGACAATACGTCATCTATTATAATGAAAGATTAGCTGGAGTAAGGTATCCAAGCGATTACTCGACTTTTGCGTTCACGGAAGTTTGCGAAATAGAGGTTTACGGTAAGTAAAAAATTAAAATACAGTAAACATGGTTTAAGGCATCCTAGGCAAGTCTTTAATATCCTTTTATAACTACCTGTAGAGCATTGCTATTAATTAAGTAAAAAAGTAATTGAATGAATTTGCAATTTCTATTTTTACCCTCTCTATATTCTGACTTCTTCCTCTTTTCATACCGTTACCGTGGCTCAGTCAGTAGTGGGCTATATAGTTTTGTGATCAGAAGGTAGTGTGGTGACTGACCTAAGTCGATAAAAAAAAAAAAATAGGTATCAACTGTTCCTTCGCCAAGCGCCCGGTACTTTCGAGTGAAAGGAGCGGGTACTTCGGATGACACCTTAAGGACTGAGGCTCCGTTTCACGACGTGCATTGGCACTTAAAGATTTCCGACTGCTCAAAGGCCATGAGTGTCGAGTATAGAAATAAATTTTAAGCCCTTGACCGGCATAAGGTGAAGTCTACACTACTAAGTCAGAAACGTACTGACATTCCCATTTTTTACTGACAAACTTAGATAATTACTGACAATGTGCTGCCTTTACTGCAAAACTTAAACAATTACTGACCTTTTTTACTGCCGGTGCTGATAAACTTAGAAAAGTGCTGACAATCTTAGTCAGTGCTGATAAACTTAGACAATTACTGACCCGTTTTACTGTCCCTGCTGAAAAACTTAGACAAGTGCTGACATTTACTGATAATTACTGTCCCTATTGTTCTCGCTCTCGGGGAGGCTGCAGTGGCGTGAAAATATTTGGTTGTTAATAACTTTTACTTTAGAAACAGTCTTATTTTAATTTTTGAAATAAAGTTTCAATTCCCAGACAGTTATTTTTTCAACTAATAATTTTATAATTGGTATCTGTAAAATAATTCATAACGAATACGATGTACAATTATAACTTTGTGTGAATCAAGTTTAAATAAATGTGTTGAATAATTACACCTTATCCCTGTCCCTGTTCAATCTAAAGAAATAAATTTCATCACTTTATTCCTTCGCAGACGAGTGCTAAATATACCCGTCTTTACGGTATAGTTTGCATTATTTCCTGTTTTCTTCGATCGGAAATACATGTTTCAATTGTATTTTTTTATCATCAGGACAGACACCTCTTGTTGAAAGAAATCTTAATCTACTAAGACTTGAATAAATTACTGATCGGTAATTTCATTTTCTAAATGTTCTTTTACATCTGTACAAGTCATATTCTGCTAGCGCTGTTTGGGATATCCGGTTTCAATTTATCATAAATGAGTTCCCTACTGAACGAGAGTAAATAAATAATAATTCTTTATTTAACAACTTTAAGCCATACGGCCATCAGCATATACAAAATGAACATAAATATAAACGCATGGCGAGAGTCTACGGGGGGTGGAACCCCTAGTGTCCATCTGTCCAACTCCTCAACACCAACAATTACAGTAAGTATTATAAACTCTCCATTAATACATGAAAAAAAATATTTATAGATAATATACATATAAATTAAATTATTCATCATTTCTTAATATCATTACATGAAGAATGAATTTCCCTAGTCCAACTAAAACACCAACATCATGAGAGCTGAGTAGCTGAGTAAGCTTGTACATATTTGGAGATCCGAAATAATATGGTTGATATATTTTCTTAGATTAGTATTTATATGTTTATTTATTTGTTCATCTGTTTCAGTTTTGATTGATATTTTATCACTTTATAAGACCGAGATTTTGCACTGTAGGTCCCCACCATCTCGAGCTGATGTTTCTCTCTCTCTCTCTCTCTTTCTCTCCAAAAAAAATCAATATTGATCCAGGCGAAGTGAAAACAATGTAGATAGTTTTAAATATAGTATAACTCTGAAAATTAGTTTTTATTGTTATGATCTTGTTGTCTGTAAATTGTTCTCGAATGATTATTCGATAATTGTTTACTTAATGTTTAGAAAATTCTTAGGTTTTTTTTATTCGATAAACAAACTTTACATGGATGCAATCGACAACACATTCATTATTGTTCTCTCACTCTATCTTCCCTTAGAATGTACATCGCACACTATCCCGACTTAACAGAACAAATTAGGAAGAAAAGCCTTATATCAATATTTTTGCAATAGTTTAGGATTCCCCCCTTTAATTTATTTAATTTTTTTGTTTTAAACTGCAGCTAAATCTAAATAGTTTGTGTCTTTCCCGAATTGAATTTTCACATTTTATTTTTAATTAATCATTCATTTAATTTATATAATATAAATCTATTTTTTTTTTTTAGAATATTTTATTTTATTCTAAATAGAGGGTGAGAGATTGTAGATTGCGCATGTATTTGTTGAATTGCTCAAAATTGTGTAGAAGAACAGAGAAGTCTACCTGTTTCCGTAATGTTGTGTAACTAACTTCCTGTGATATCCGGCGAGTGCCCCTTTGTATAATTTACCAGTGACACCTATTGTCTTATTTTCGCTACCGTACACACTCGGATCGCCTTAGGCGATTTCTTCTATACACACGGGTGCTTCATAGAGTTTCCGATTGTGTGTTCAATAATTCTGTAATTCTGCCGGTTATCAGCTAACACACTTAAATCATTATGGACGAATAATTAAAACAGTATTACTGTAACATCAAATTGGTTTATATACTGTACAAAGTTCCCGACCACGCTATGAAACCATTAATTTATTTATTTATTTATTTATTTTATTTTATTTTATTTTTTTTTTTTTTTTTTTTTTTTTTTTTTTTTTTGATGAATTGGCGTTGAGCTTGATAAAACCTTTGCTGGTAATTCATTAAATGAATTTACGGCAAATAGAATTTTAAATAACTACAATAGATAAAAGAAATTAATTTCTAATCCATAAACTTCAAAAAAAAAAAAAAAAAAAAAAAAAAAAAAAATCATACACATAGAGGGTATGAAGATCATCAGTTACACATGTAAATACGATTTGATTTGAACATTTTGTCATTTAATATACAATACCTAATTAGAGACATAAATATTTATATGTTTGTATGATCTAATGCACCATGCATCTTTGTGTAAACTAACAAAATGTGTACACCTCAGTGCGACATCAAAACCTTACCATTCAATCAAGCGAGAACGTATCAAAATAATGCTATCGATTTTATTGACATACCAATCGTTCGCACAAAATTAAAAAATTACATGCTATGATTGTTTCTGGCTCAAAATTTTCACAGATCTCGAAAATTTATGTACTAATTAAACCCAACAGTATTATTTTAACATTTAAGCATGTTTGCTATATCTTAGGAAATCGGCTACTGTTATAATACGTCTTTTTAAAAGATCGCACTTGTTCCCCCCCCCCCCCCAATTTAAATTTGATAGGAAAATGGGTATGAAGTTCTAGCAACATTCCATTTGATAAAAGGATGGATATGGATTTCTAGCAACATTCTATTTCAAGATGCCGCATCAACAAATAAACTTTTGAAAATATAAAATTAGCAATTCAAGGAGTATTTTACTTAACTTGAAAAGCAAGAATTGTCAATACACATGTATCATTTTGAATCCAAATTAAGTTAAAATATAAGAACTAACGATATTTTGTTTCAAACCACTGAATTTATTTATTTTTTAGATAGCTCATTTATTTATTGTTTTTTATCACTTAATATCAAATGAATTGCCGTGCATTACAAATCATAACGGTAATAAATAACCCTAAAAAAACCACTCTCATGTGGGATTCAGAAATCCCAGATATGGAAATCAACTAAAAGATGTACATGTATTTTATTGTAAGAATAGAATGGATAGTAACTAACTAATCAATGAATATCAAGGATCGAAGAATATCAATACAACCCCGTAGCCAAAAAAAGTAAACTGTCCAAATTTTAAAAAAAACACAAAAAAAATTATATCATATTTCGGGGGGAGGGGTACCTATTTTTTTTTAAATGTTTTCTTTATTTCTTTCTTTCAAATGCTGGAATTTGGGTATGTTTGACTGTACAGCACACAAATGGGGGGGGGGGGAGAGACGGGGGCAGCGTCCACATCAAAATTTACATATGAAAACTACACCAAAAGACTATTCTCAGAAAAGCCCCCCCCCCCCCCCCCCGCATACTCTGGGTATGAAATATTATAATTATTCAAAATTAATTGCATAAAAAGCATCTACCCAGACAGCTTTATTTTTTAAATACGGAATTATAAACAAAAAAGGGGGGGTTACATGTACATTATAGGGAATATATAATAATAATCATTTTTTTATAATCAGGAGGAAAATATCGATCCCTGGAAACGCCATATTTTCTTAATAAACGCCTCTAAAAATAATTTACGAATTGCTTATCTGCTGAAATTTTTTGAAGTTTTATATGTTTTCCTTATCAAAATATTTTCAAATAATTCTTCTATAAATTGATCGGAGGAGCTTTTAGAAAATATCATAGGGCATAGTTATAAAAATCATTTTTAAAAAATCAAATAAAGCCTCTTTAAGATTAAAAAAATCAACTGCACACCTCCGCAGTCTCCCCGAGAGCGAGAACAATAAGGACAGTACTTATCAGTAAATGTCTGCACTTGTCTAAGTTTTTCAGCAGGGACAGTAAAACGGGTCAGTAATTGTCTAAGTTTATCAGCACCGACTAAGATTGTCAGCACTTTTCTAAGTTTATCAGCACCGGCAGTAAAAAGGTCAGTAATTGTCTAAGTTTTGCAGTAAAGGCAGCACATTGTCAGTAATTATCTAAGTTTTTTCAGTACAAAATGGGAATGTCAGTACGTTTCTGACTTAGTAGTACTATATATGAGTGAAAAATTCTGGAATGAAACAAAAAACAACATACAATCAATCAATCTTCCTCTTTTCATAATCATTCACTACTTCAGAGTTTTAGAAATGGCTATGTTCTGTCTTTATATTCGTAGAAGTAAATATAACGATCGATCGAGATGTATTTTTTTTAAATTTTAAAACACACTTTCTTGTTATTTTCTTTTCAGGATGCCGTGAAGGAATATGTCCGTATGAGTATTGTAAAGATTGTCTATATAAACAATGTCTAGAAGGGGACAATACATGCAAGAAAGGTTGTGAATGAGGTTTGATTGTTGCTTAAAAAAGGATCAATTTATAAACTTTTGTTCTGAATATTGAGGATAATCGTTAAAAACAACAAGGAGCAAAAACACACCTTTCTGCACATCTATATCTTCAATGAAATAATAAGTAGGTATATCCATTGCATAGCCTATTTTTGACACATTTGAAATAATCATTCTATGCTGAAACATTCCTTGAACATTTATAATTAATAATTTAATTTTTGATCACATATTGATCACATACACATGTATTTCTCTAAATAAAATTTATCAATAATAATAACTGTGCTGCATAGATTCCGTCATTTGTACACAGAATGTAAGTAGTTTTTTTCTTAGATTGAGGACAAGGAAATCCTGTTTACATTAAGTAATAAATGTACATTTATCACATTCTTGTGAAATTTTCCATGGATACAAACAAATCAGTACATTTTTGATTCAAATGTCTTTTAAAGTTCCAAATTGCAGAACATCAACTTGTTAAAATTTTCATATCAAATGAATGACAAATTCTTTGCGTTGTGCATATGTCCTTCCGGAATATGAATTAAAACTCCTAAGTTTTAAAAATGATAAATAAAAAAGCTTTTTTAACTTATAGTCTGAAGATGCTTTGAAATTATTTAATGATAGTTTTTTGTAAAAAGTTTGATATTGAGAATTCACTTTCTAGAAGAATTATTTGATTTGAGTTATTATTTTTGAAATCATTCCCGTGCAAATCAGATAAGATGTGTTTCACAGACGCGTAGACAGTGTATCATTTTAAGGATATTTATAACTATATATGTAATAAATTAATGAGAAAAGATTCTTACACTTGTGTTAAAGTATGCCCCGTTGCATTCAATGGTAAAAAGTGTGAGAAGAGTTGCAGTTCACATTGCCTCAATTCCAGTGGATGTGATTCAAAATCTGGAGCATGTCAGGGTGGTTGTGAAGCCGGTTGGAAAGGTCTCCTTTGTATCAATGGTAATTAAACCCTGTGACAGGTATTTGGTAATTATTTGAGATTGTCACAAAATATTTCATTCATTGAAGGAAAATACAGTAAAACGCCCTTATAGCGAACACGCTTATAACGAATTGACATTTATAGCAAAGTGATTTTTCTTCCCTGTGACTTCAAAATGTATTGTGAACCTTACGGATATAGCAAATTACGCTTTTAACGAAGCAAATTCATCCGTCACTTCGTTATAAGCGTGTTTTACTGTATTTGATCAATTAAAATTAATATTAAATTGTACTTTTGGCTGATTCAATTTTAGTATGCACTTTTTTGCTTACATAAAATTAAAACAAAACATTTTATTCTAATATAAATCAGGACAATGCCTTTTTTCTTTGTCTTTTTGTTTTTAGATTCACATGCTTTATGTTAAAATGTCTGAATTTTGAAATAGAACTTTGAGGAACAGGATAGAAACAAAAGGGGTAAAAATCATGATACATTATCTGTATTTCTTTTAGAATGTGGCTCTAGTGAGTACGGTAGAAACTGCAGGAGACATTGCGGACCTTGCCGATATAAAAACAAGTGTAATCCAATAGATGGATCCTGTCCCGCTGGATGTGCGGAGGGATACGCGGGGAAAACATGTTCAATGAGTAATTGATTTTTTTTCTTATTTCATTCTTATCTTTTAATTTCGAGAAAGAAGTCCTATAACAGTAAAATTAGAGCAAAAAAATCGAATACAGTGAAAAATAGAGCAGAGAACGAGTAGGTCTTCCGTTGGAGCTGCGAAAACGAAGAAGTGACCAGTAGAAAGACGTAGAGGAATGTACAGTTTCTCTGTCGGTGACCTTGAACTCTTTCAAATGACCTTGCGTCAAGCCATGACACACTCTGGCTGTGAGCAAACCCCAGCAGTGTTTTAACGACTTGACACGTTAACACATGTTTTTTAGACCATTCATCCAGTCAAAACATTTTCCTTAGTGACCCTGAATTAAATCAAGGCAATAATACAGTCAGCATGATATCAGCAATACCGTACCCTTTTGTGTGTTTCCGACTTGACAAGTTCACACGGTTTTTTTTCCAGACCATACATCGAAATAAAATATAATTTCTATAATCGAAATTTATTAGGTTCAACTCACTGATTTAAAGGTTCATTGTAAATGTTTTGTTTTATATCAAGTTTGGATATTGCACAAGGTGTGTTTGTGAAACACTGATGCCCCCATATGGCAACTTATGGCAAAGGTTAAAGTTTCTCAAATGCAAGTCAAAGTCCATGGTAAAGGTCAAGAGTTAAAAAATGTTATTACCCAAAGAAAAGTCTTGACACAGAGAATACAACTGTGAAATATATATTAAAACCGTAGTAGCAATCGTTCAAAACTCATGGAGGTTAATTTTTTAAAGGTCAAACTCCAAGGTCAAGGGCAAAGGGTCGTAATTTTTTGTATCCGAGCAAAGTTCTTGTTCCAAGGAATACACATGTGGTATAAAAAGGCCTTAGCACCAACTGTTCAAAAGTTTGACCAAGGTTAAAGTTTTTCAAAAGTAGGACATACTCCAAGGTCAAAGTCAAAGGGTCAAAATTGTTGGTATACAATGAAAGGTTTTGTACTAAATACACCTGTGAAATATGAGAGTAAAGTTGTTTAAAAGTCGGTCAAACTCCCAGGTCAAATGGTCAAACATATTTATACCCAAGGAAAAGTCTTATCACAAGAAATGCAGAAGTCCTAGCACCAACTGTTCAAAAGTTATGGCCAAGGTTAAAGTGTGGTAAAATTTTGCAGAAGTGGATCAAACTCCAATTTCAAGGTCAAGAGGTTCCTAAAGAAAGTCCTTGTTACAAGGAATACACATGTGAAATATGAAAGCCATAGTTCCAACTAATCAAAAGTTATGGGTAAAGTTAAACTTTTTGGGGACAAACAGGCTAACAGACAAATAGACAAACGGACAGGACAAAAACTGTATGCCCCCCGGATCTTCGATTAAGGGAGCATAAAAAAATGTTGGCGTCTTTGGGTTTTCGCACTGGCCATAAATCTGAAAATCCAAAGGATTACAAGGTGTATTACGATACGCTATCACATCATGTTCTATAACGCAGACCATATTGTCTGCAAAGATAAAGAAATATTTAATTCAGTATTTAATTACCTATGCACAATTATCTATGTTGATTTCATATGGAAATATGAAAAAAAAAAATTAATGTTTGAATTTGTTATATTTTTCGATGTAGAGATATACAGAAAATGTTTTCAAATTTTAAAGTCCTATCTCAGTACACATTTTCAAAAAAAAAATGTGTGTGTGTTGGAGTGGAACGGGGGGGGGGGGGTTGCTTTTCATTACATTTTTGCTGGGATTTGCCTATATATGACTGTACAGCAACAAAAAGTGGGGAGGGGGCAAAGAGCAACTAAATCAAAATTTACATATTAAAACTACAGCAAAAGAGACTATTTTAAGAAAAAGTCTCTCCCTCCCTCCCACCCACCCCCACCCCCCGTACAACGGACCTGCGGGGAAAAAATGCTGATCCTACATTCAGAGACCCAAGGCACCAGGAAAGAGTGGCAAATAAGAGAACTAATATCGGTTTATTTCAGTCTATAAGTCGAATTAAAATATCTTTTCCTCAAGAGTCTTCTTTGTTTGAGTTCATCCCAGTGGTCGTATGATTTATTTCATTTACACTGTATTTTATGTTCTGTACTGGACTTGGAAAATGACGACATCTTTGGATTTCTGAGCTGGCTTTGAAACCTGCAGAACACATTTTCCGCTTTACGATAAATTCAAAAGATAAATTTAAGTAATATGTTATTCGGTATAAATTAGGTCTTTCCACCTTTCTGTGGAAAGACCTATTGATTTTCTTCTGTTTATTATTTTTATTAATATTATTGTTATTATTTTTCTTCCGCTGATTTTTTGTTTCGACATTTATCGAAAAGATTTTTTGTTCATCGTAAAGGTCATAAACAGTTATGAACAAATTTGACCCAACGCATATAACCTATGACCCTTTCACAGTTATTGCCCCTTTTGCTAGAAAACTTGCTATCGCTACTCCTCCGAAACCGTAAACAGTAGAGGTACGAAATCTCCATCAGTGTCTTCAACCAACTTTGTACTTGCTTCAATCTATTCATTGCGAAAGTATTCGTCAACCCCTTTTATGAGTTATTGCCCCTGAAAGTTTTTGAAGTTTACAAATAGTAAAAATTTTTCAAAACGATAAGTCGTAGAGACATGAAACCAACTAGATTAGATTCTTTGACCTTAAACCTTGAAGTTTATGTCAAGGTCAAAGGTCAAGGTCATTCCAAATATGAGAATTTAAGCTCTTTTTATATCTCTTTTGTCTTTCAACATATTCTAAATATCTTTGCATCTTTAATATGTCCTCTTTAAACTATTTCAAAGATTTTATACTTGTCCCCTAGGATTGACCCCTTTAGAAGTTATTGCCCTTGTGCGAAAAACCTTGTTATTGCTACTTCTCCGAAACCGTAAACCATAGAGACACCAAATTTTCACTAAAGGCTTAAGGGTCTTTAGACACAACTTCAATCTATCAGTGCAAAAGGATCCAATGACCCCTTATATGAGTTATCGCCCTTCAACGTCTTTGCTCTTAATATTAAACCTTATAACTTTAAAATTAAAAGTCGTAGAAACATGGGGTCAAGTGCAATGTGACCCTTGACTTTTGACCTTAAATATTTGTTCAGAGTCAAAGGTCAAGGTCATTTCAAAATGTTTAAAATTTTCATTTTTTCCATCTCTCAAGCCATTTCTGGATTTTTTTGGGTTTTTTTTTTTTGGGGGGGGGGGGAGGGGTTGTATAAAAATAAATAGAAGAACGAAGAATATATGAAATTTAAAGAAAGTGGAAGGACCTCTAATTGTTCGAGAACAATTAGTCTACTAGTTTTGTTTTGAATTTTTTTTTTGTTGTTGATTTTATGAGGAAATATGAAAAATTAATTTTTGATGTAGTATGTTTTAAAGAGGAACTGAATAATTTATCAATTTAAAGTTCTATCTCAATTCACATTGGGAAAAAAAAAATAAATTCATACATTTTTGCCCAGCAAATTTATTCATAATGTAAGTCATAATTCCAACACCGAAGGGTAGGGGCATAAACAATTTTATAAAAGTACTATTATTATGAAAGTTATGTTCTGTGTCAAGCCCGTAGAAAGCAATTTTAGTTTGTCTTTTTTTTTTGGGGGGGGGGGGGAGCAAAACCAAACAGAAATTTCTTGATATATAAACAAAAACAAAAAAGAATGTATAGGACATCAATTGAAGGGGAGAGGGCACGACCGTAATTTAAAGCTATATAGTGACTAAGAAGGAATGAACTGTCATTTGTTAAGATCTATTACCTTAACTCTCCACTTTCAATTTTCAATTACAGATTCTTGTTACAAAAAAAAATTAAAAAGAAAAAACAGCTACATATGTACATTTATGCGTATCTATCAGATGCATAATTATTTTATTAATCATTTTATCTTTAAGGAAAAATAAAAATCTAAATCAAAACTTGTTACGCATGCTATGCTCTCTGATTCATTACTTCATATACATGTAAGAAGGGATCGTCAATAAAGACTGCAGGTGTGATAAATTCACAGCATGCAGCTCCAGCCTTAATTCCAACTTTGTTCCAAAATATTATTATTCAACACGAAAAATTAAAATTGACCGAAAGAATATTTTAAATTATTTGGGAAATGCTACCGTTGCACCAGATCGAGTGATTTTCATTGACAGGTGTAGCGCCGTGCATTGATTTCGTGTAACTATACATGTAAAGATTGTGATTGAAAATAATAAACAAACAGATCGAAAGAAAAGATTTATTGTGATTGATATTGTATAATGTACATATATTTGTTAAGAACCAGTTAATTCATGAAACGAATTTTAGTCGTATTACGTGGGTCCATGTTAGATTTGACAGGTTGATTTACTAGTACATGTAGTCTTTTTCAGATGTATTGAAATTCAAAGGACCAGCACATTTTTTTTAATGTTACCGAAATTCAGAATAAGAGAAATATTGGCCAATGAAGACGTTTTAAAATCCTGATATAAAACACGTTGACAAACCCAACCCAAATACACTGTTAAATTAAGGACACTTGAACAGTGAAATGAAATAAATTGTTCATTCTAGATTTATTGTTCGTTTGGACGATGGTTTCAAAAAGAGTGACACGCTGCTTGTACAAGTACACATCAGTGAAATCTCTGATTTACCTCAAGATCGTCGGACATTAATTTATTTTAGTTATCTAAAGACAATGTTATTTCCAGAGACTTATTTTTTTTTATGTTTCAGGTTTTTATGTCCCCGCCATAAAATGGCCGGGGCATATAGTGTTACCCTGTTCCGTCATTCTGTCATTCCGTCATCATTGACTTTCCGTTCATTATCTCGGCAACAGTTGCACCCATTCAACCTAAATTTGACATATGGATACGTCATAGGAATACAGGTCAAGTTGGAATTTGGTCGTGGTCCGATGATTTTTGACAGAGTTATCCCTTTTGAACTTAAGAAAAAATAAGAAATTTTCAGTTTCAGCTCTCTTACTTTTGTAGGGATTTATGTATAAGGAT